CGGGTGAGTTCTGGCTTGAAAGAGCTAGTCAGAGAGGTGTTAAGTGTCCTTGGTTTAGGGAAGATAGGATTTGCTAGGTGACTACAAACTGCTGTTTAACTGTCTCAGTTTCCCTATTCCCCGTGTCCTGGAATTTTCCTAGCTTCTTATTGTCCTATAACACAAGGTCATAGGTTAAGAAGTAGAGATGCGAGGCCCAGGAGATAGATCACAGTTCGATTCCCGGTCAGGGCCCATGCCTGGGTTGCGGGCTTGATCCCCAGTTGGGGGCATGTAGGAGGCAGCCAGCCGATCAATGACTCTCTCATCATTGATGTTTCTATCTCTCCCTCTCTTTGAAATCAATAGACATATTTAAAAAACAAAAACAGAGATGTGGGAACTCACCTAGGCCTGATTCCCTCACCAAACTGCATTTCAGGAGTTAGTGGGTGTAGGTGGCTTGGGTGATCAGCACTCAGCTTGCACGGTCTCCAGGATATCTCAGGATTAGGTGGTGGGAAAGGAGTGAGAACAAGCAAGTGTCCTAGCCAAGGGGTAAAAAATAGGCCTGGGGAAGTCAGGAGTTTAAAGTGGGAAAAAAGCTCTGTATAGTTAAAGGAGACGGGTTCTGGAGGAAAGCATTTTGTTTCTCCAAAAGAGCATTAATCGGCCAATGCTCGTCCCACTCCCAGGAGCCACGAGCCCCATCCTAAGAGACCCTCAGTGGGCTTGTAGGTGGTGTACCCGGCTTCCCTCACGGAAGCAGGATGGGGGCTGAAGGAGAAGCTGAAGAATATATCTGTCCCTTTTCTTCAAAGAGCATCCATACTAACATATGTCTGAGGGATTAGTACATCTTTGAAACCCTAGGCAAACGGGAGGGGAATTCCTGCGGCGCTCGCAAAACTATGAAATGAAGGATTTGGTGTGGCTGCTGGCGCGTGGGACGGTCCAGAGCGTTTGAGAGAGCACATGCCAGTTTCAGGAGTCCTGGCATTTTCCGCATACCCTGGTGTTTCCAGTTATTTCAGATGCTACATTAGCATTCCGTACGCCTTGAGACGAACACTAGCCTTTCTGTCACCCGTCTTCTCTGTGTGGTAAACGAGGGGCTGGGACAAATGATCCTTGCTATCCATAATCCCTTCAACTTGTGATTTCATTTATCCTGTTTCAGACTTACAGAATTATTCACACTTTAACAAACATTATTTGGCATTTATTAACAAGGGTAAGAAACACAAAAATTGACTTTCTTAACACAATTTGTAGACTTTTTTTTTTTTTTGGTAAAATGAAACAGAAAATACTACCCAGGGAAAGAACTGGTAAGATTTCCTTCCTTCCTTCCTTCCTTCCTTCCTT